GGGGGATAACAACCCCACTGCCTGCCCCGAAACTTTCGCCCATGTGGCCACCCCAGCCGCTCCCCTCTCCCACAGGCCACAGCAAGCAGGTGCTGGGCTCCCAGCCATGTGACCAGGAAGCTGCCCTGGGCCCCGGGCAGCACCCCTGCTGCCACCACCTTCCCACTGGGCTCGCCCCACTGCGCCCGCAACCGCCCCCTAGCGCTGGCCACAAGCGCCAGTCCGCCCCTTGGCAACCCTCAGCCACTGCCAGAGGAGCGGGGCCCTGGCCGAGTGACATCACGGGAGGCCAGAGGGGACTCCCACCCTCTGGATGCACCTGCACAGTGGAACAGCCTAGAGGCAAATGGGGCAGCTGCCGCTTGGGGCACCGCCCCCCCCACTTCGCTTCCCCCACCGGCCTTAGTGAGTGACTCCCCACCGCTTCCCCCGGAAGCTGCCAAACGTACCGTAAACCCTTCTCCTGGAGGAAAGGTTCTCCCATGCAAAGTTTGGTTGCGGTAGCTCTTCTAGTGCCCAAGTTATTAGCGTGCAAACATTCTCCTTTCTATAGTAGATAACGGGTGAGCAAGGGTTTAAAAAAGAACTAGGTAAGTTCCTGGAGGACACGTCCACCAGTAGCTACTCTGCAAGGGAGCGAGGGATGCTACCCCCATATCCTGAGGCTATGTCTACACTGCAAGGTTTTTGCGCAAAACCCAGCAGAGCGTCCACTCCTCAAGTGCACAAGTAAATCGGCAGCACAGAGGGCTTTTGCCGGTCGAGTTATTCCTCTCCCCACATAGACTCTAATGCCAGAAGGGGCCATGGATGACTCTAATCCAGCCGCCTGCCTAGTGCAGGCCACAGAACTTCCAGGTTGTGTCTAGATTGGCAAGTTTTTCTGGAAAATCAGCAGCTTTTTTTCGACTCCAGCTACGTAATTAGCGTCAGTGGAGTTCTGTATCTTAAGTCAACTTTCCCCTGGGTTGTGTCCAGACTGCATCCCTTTTCCGTAAAAGGGATGCAAATTAGACACATCACAATAGCAAATGAAGCGGGGATTTAAATTCCCCCTGCTTCATTTGCATAAACATGGCTGCTGCTTTTTTCCAGCTCGGAGCTTTGCCGGAAAAAAGCGCCAGTCTAGATGCGGATCTTTCAGAAAATAAAGCCTTTTCCGAAAGATCCCTTATTCCTCTTAAAATAAGGACACGGGGGCTGTGTCTAGACTGGCAAGTTTTTCCGGAAAATCAGCTGCTTTTTTTCCGGAAAAACTTGTCAGCTGTCTACACTGGCCATTTGAATTTCCAGAAAAGCACTGACGATCTCATGTAAAATCATCAGTGCTTTTCCAGAAAAACTATGCTGCTCCCGTTCGGGCAAAAGTCTTTTTCCGAAAGACTTTTGCCCAAAAGAGCCAGTGTAGACAGCATAGTACTGTTTTCCGCAAAAAAGCCCCGATCGCAAAAAAGTGCTTTTGCAGAAAAGCGTCCTGCCAATCTAGACGCGCTTTTCCAAAAATGCTTTTAACGGAAAACTTTTCCGTTAAAAGCATTTCCGGAAAATTATGCCAGTGTAGACGTAGCCAGGTAGCTAGCAAAGGTGTTGGCCAAGGCCCCGGGTGAACTAATCGAGATAGAGGAATGAAATTTGAATTGTGTAAGATTCCCTGCCTGCTTTCTTTGTGTGGGAGAGAGAAACCAGGAGTTGAGAGACACCGAATGATTTCAACCCAGACAGGCCGACCATGCCTCCAAGGAATTCGGGGCATGCAAGTGGACTGAACGAAGAGAAGACTGGAAGTAAGTAAAAGGAAAAAGTGAATCTTGTCGTATTCAGAGTATTTTTCTTTATTTTGTGGTTTGGTTTGAAGTGCTCTGTGTGAATCTCTGCCTCCCCTCCCAATTACCACCTAGCACTGCGCCCAGAGACTTTTCTTGGTGCTTTAATTTGTTTTCCATAGTTGCTCTGTCACATCTAGCAACCAAGGACGCTTGATCAAGTTTATCTTTTGTTTTGTAATAAAAATCACTTTTTGTAAAGGTTGATTTGATTCTTGTGTCCGGGAAGGTCCCTGTGTGTATCTGCAGCCCTCAGAGGTCAGCTACCAGGGATTGCAGCTCGTTTTTTCTTTTTTTCAAGCTCTTTTGGGGCAAAAGAGCTTGGGGTACCCCTGGGGGTGGGTTCAAGTGTCCCCCCTGTTTTTTTAGGGATCAAAATCACTTGCTGGTCACCGCGATCCCCCAAAACCTGTGTGTGGTGATTCTGGGGGAAGTTTTCTTGTCTCCAGGGTCTGTAGAGGCAATGTTTTTTTTTCTTTTGAGCTTTTTGTGGGCCCCCATCTTCTGCACTTCAGTTCCCCGTCTCAGTGCCCAAGCCCCTTGCCTGGCGTGAGATCCTGACCGGAACGGAGTGCAGACCGCTGCTTTTCCCTGCAGCCACCCGCTGCTTCTCCCTGTCGCCAGTTTCCAGCAACTCTGTAAGGAGCCGGCAGGCTGGCCATGCAGTACACATGCGAAGCCTCGCTCCTGTCTCCATTTGCCAGGCAGCTCTTCTCTCTGCTGCTGTTTTATAGCTCCCGGGATAAGAGCTTCACTACTGCTGCTAGCCGAGGGAGCGCTCCTTGTGCTCTCGTGCCAGAGGCTTGAACTTTTGAAGCTGACACACCAGGGCTCAGCTGCTGTCTCCCCCCCGCGTGCCTGAGTTCGGCTGTAATTGTCTCTCCTGCTTGCAACCTGTGGCTTTGTTCCAGCTCGCCCTGGATTCTCTCTTTCTCCTGCCCATGCCGGGCCTCGGGCCGTGGCAATGCACTGGCAGGAGTGAGTAAATCCCGATCAGAATAATTGTCGGGCTGTAACGCAGCTAGTCATCTTTCTCTGCATGCCTAGTTAGCTTTGATTTAATAGGCCACCGGCTCCGGGCCCGGTGTGGGTTGCATCAGCCCAGCACTGCAAACGAAAGCCTCAATAAGTCAAGCAGGGTTACACTTTACAGGTGCCGCATTGAAAATAAATATTTCCTAATAAATCAGAGCAGGCGGGATTGCAAATAGCGAGGCAGGATGCATATGGCTTAATTACACCGGGCCTAATGAACATCCTGTTTGGTGCATGGTGATTTACAACCGAAGGAGACAGTCCAGGCCGTGCCTGACAATTTAGAGACCAGGCGGTGGAGGGAATACAGTGAACCCTCGCTACTTCGCGGTTCGACTATCGCGGATTCACGACTTCGCGGACTTTTTTCATTACATTATGAATCCGCGATGGTCGAACCGCGAAGTAGCGGTTACCAAAACTTTAAAAAGCCTCCGGGGAAGCCGGCGGGGGGGCATCCCAGGCGCGCCTGGGCTGCTCCCCCGCCGGAGCCCCTCCGCGGCTTTCAAAGCCTCGGGGGAAGCCGGCGGGGGGGGCATCCCAGGCGCGCCTGGGCTGCTCCCCGCCGGAGCCCCTCCGTGGCTTTCAAAGCCTACTTCGCGGATTTTCACCTATCGCGGTAGGGTTTGGAACCTATCTACCGCGATAAACGAGGGTTCACTGTATATGTACAGTATTATGGGGGCTAATTTGGCTATGACAAATCAGGAAAGAGATCTTGGAGTTATAGTGGATAGTTCTCTGAAAACTTCCACACAGTGTGCAGCGGCGGTCAAAAAGGCAAATAGGATGCTAGGAATTATTAAGAAAGGGATAGAAAATACTACACAGAATATCTTACTGCCCCTGTATAAAACTATGGTATGCCCACATCTTGAATACTGTGTACAGATGTGGTCTCCTCACCTCAAAAAAGATATTTTGGCCTTGGAAAGGGTTCAGAAAAGGGCAACTAAAATTATTAGGGGTTTGGAACAGGTCCCATATGAAGTGAAGCTAAAGAGACTGGGACTTTTCAGCTTAGAAAAGAGGAGACTGAGGGGGGATATGATAGAGGTCTATAAAATCATGAGTGGTGTGGAGAGGGCTGATAAAGAAAAGTTATTTATTAGTTCCCATAATAGAACTAGAGGACACCAAATGAAATTAATGGGTAGCAGGTTTAAAACTAATAAAAGAAAGTTCTTCTTCACACAGAGTGTAGTCAACCTGTGGAACTCCTTGCCAGAGGAGGCTGTGAAGGCTAGGACTATAATAGAGTTTAAAGAGAAGCTAGATAATTTCATGAAGGTTAGGTCCATAAAAGGCTATTAGCCAGGGGATAAAATGGTGTCCTTGGCCTCTGTTTGTCAGAGGCTGGAGAGAGATGGCAGGAGACAAATCGCTTGATCATT